TATGTTTAATGTTTGCTGGAGTATACATAATTTTCAGCAGTTTTTACATTTCTTGGTGGCACATCATCGTTTGATTAGTTTCGCCTTATACTGCATAGGTTTTGTATGGTTTGTTTTATCACTGCGAAAAGGTTATTATCTGCGGCAGTTTTCACTAGTGAGTTTTATTCATACTATATCGTTTTCTGAAAATTCGAAATGCTTATTTCATCATAGTATGGCAATATAAACTGTTTGACAATGTTAGTATAGGATTGATAATTACATGGAAAAACCAGTCAGGCCTGATAAACATGATATAGGTAGATGAAGATTAGATAATCCGAATCATGTAGTCGAGCTGTAGAATGAAATAAATGGATGAAATAAGTTTAAATTCTCATATTATTATTTATTTATTTCTTTTTTATGAGAATTTAAACTTATTTCACCCATTTATTCCATTCCATAGCAAAAAAAAACTTCTAATTGGTTGTTTATTGATTTGTCCCACTCCTCTAATTGATTGTTTTAATTCTCCTCGTATTTCTTCCCAAGTGAAATTGCGTGGTTTTGTTTTAGAACTCTGAACTAGCGATTGTTTTTCAGATTAAGGGATTTTATGTTACTCGAAAGGTTTAAATTTGTTGTCATATAGTTGATTTTAGTTTTAAATCTTTCATGACTATTTTTACTATTCTGCTTTTATTTCAGTTTGCTTGGTCACACGTAACACTATTGCTGATTGTTTCACAATCATTTCTCATTATCCAAAATATTTTTCAAGGACTTATATGGTTGGTTTTTAGTCCTGCTAATTGTATGTGAATTATCAGTCTTTATGAACTTAGTTATGATTTATAACATGTTCATGAAATCATTTTAGGTTTCTTGTTCCGGTTTCGATGGTAATTTGCTGTGATGTTATGTCCTACGTATTCGGTTTCTTCTTTGGAAAGACACCTCTAATAAAGTTATCTCCGAAGAAAACATGGGAGGGTTTCATTGGCGGTGGCATCAGCACTGTCCTATTCGGCTTAATTGTATGTTTGACGCAGAGTTTTGATGTTATCACCCAGACTGTCGGTCGTATCGTTCCTATGGTTCATCTCCCAATGTTAATATAATTTCAAATCGGATACTTCTGCTTAAATATTGTTATCAATTATTATTTTTTTTTTTTTTTATTTGTTTTGGTTTGGGTTTTTCAATTCATATTCATATATTAATTGTAACTTTTTATATTTGAAAAGTTACGATTAATATAAAAACAACTTCTAGGATCCATTTATGTACATTTGTTATATTTCAGCTTTCTTATTGCCTTCTTCATCATCCCTTTTTTGTGTGTCCATTGGAAGATTATACAGTGGAAAATTACAACTGTACCGTTCCGCCATCATTTGTTCTAAGGTTTGCTATAGACTTTGAATAGCGCAAGCTGTGATCTTTACTTTGGATAACACATTTTATAATAATACGGAAGTATTTTTTAGAGAATTCAATATCGGACGACCTATTTCCATCATATTACGATTGATGCAAAGACCTCCAACACTTGAAGTCTATCCTTTTTTACTTCATACGATTATAATGGGCCTATTTGCTTCTATATTAGGCCCATTTGGTGGATTCTTTGCAAGTGGATTCAAGCGAGCTTTCAAAATCAAGGCACTGTTTCCTAAGAATTTTAGATACGTTTGATTTTGTCATTTATTAATGAAATTAATGGAAATAATTAGCGATAACTTTTCAGGATTTTGGTGATGTCATTCCTGGACATGGTGGTTTGATGGATCGTTTTGATTGTCAACTTCTTATGGGAACGTTTGTGAATGTTTATATTCACACGTTCATCAAGTTAGTTTTCTTTATAGGTTAAATTGTCTTCCAGTTATATTCATTTAAGAAATGCAAAAGAGAGCTTAGTGTATGTGAATTCTTGCAGCTTATTCGGGATTTTTTTCTTAAGATTTTAGAACAAAGTGAAAATTTTAAATTTACAGATGAAGTGTGACGCGCTGGTTATGTTTGTTGTTTTTTTCAGGGTCCCCAATCCGTCAAAGCTTTTGCAACAGATATTTTGGCTTCCAGTGGAAGAACAACTTTATATATTTCAGTCTTTGCGTGACCATCTTCATGAAGGTCTCGTTGATGCCTGATTTGAGCCTTATATGAAAAATGGATCTGTTCAAATTTTTTTTTTTTTTTTTTCTAATTATTATGGCGTTTGAATTTCTCCGCATGACATGTATACTGGAAAAATGAAATGCAAAAGTAGTAAATGTATTAATTCATGCGTCTATGCAGACAGCTATTCTTGCCATATCGTTCGCTTCAAAATACTTCTTTTTTGAAAATTTTTTAAATGGTCATCTTTTTTATTTCTCTTATTTGCAAAAGACATTACTTTCATAGTTTTGTAAAATATGAAATTTTTACAGTTTTTATATACTTAATATTTTATTGATATTTGGAACTATTTGGTGGTTATGGTGGTTATTTGGTGGTAATGTTACTTTTTTCTAGTAAGAATATTGTTCTTTTTTTCTTTTTTTGAATTCGGTTGTGCTAAAGTAATGGTATTAACCTGATGTTCTTGACGGTATTAACCTGATGATGTTCCGATAGTCTCCGAAGTTAGAGAACTAAATGGTAAGTTGTTTGCATCTGAAATAGTTCTTTCCCAAAACAACACTTTTTTTTTTTTGAAGTTCGATTATGTTGAAGTAATTTATGATGAAGTTGTATAAGTTCATATGTTCTATAATAAATTTGGTCTCATGACTCGTAGCACTTGCTTGCATGATTCTATTATATCTGTGATGTTTTCTTTGTGTTATATTGTATTTGTAATAGATTTAATGAAGTTTTATTATAATCGTATGCATTTGCAAGAATTAATACTGTATTTTCGGTAACAATTTAAAAGGCTGTAATAGAGTGAAACAGCTGGAAGTCCATTCTTGGTAATCTTGTGTTGATTCAGTCTTGGAACTGACATACTCAAGCGAAAAAGTAGAGATGGATGAATGTTTTCTAAGAAGATTTATGTTCTTTTTCTAAAGGTAAGGACAAAACAGTGCTTAACTTACCCGGCGTTTTCCATCTCCGCATCTGAGTTCTCTTTTGGTTTAGTTTCGCTATCCAAGTCTTTTTTCTGAGCTTATCTTTTGATACTCTAGTTAAGATATGTTATCAAACCAGTTTTTTTTTTTCCACAAATTGTTACATTTGCAAAATCATTTTCCCAGGCGAGTATTTGCATAAGTTGTAATGTTTTGAATTTTGTTGACAAGTACCGAGTGTTTACAATGAATAAATGTTTTTAATATATCAAACAATATGCAAAATGTATTAACAAATCAAATGACAAGTATTAGAATAAAAGTAAGTGTTGACATAAGTATTGAAGTATTGTATATTTTAGTTGTGCTAGTGCTGTATCTCTGCCAAACTATTAAGTGTTTTTTTATTTATGAAGTGGAATTTGCATGTTTAACTAACATTTTTGTGTTGATTCATATTGTTAAGCTAGTTCTCAATTATTGCTTTCGTCAGAATGTTGTTTTTCTCCTAAAAATACCAGTTTAAATGCATTGTTCTCGTTTAATTTAACGCCTTCTTTTGTGCTACCGTATACATTTTTTTTTAAAGCTCGAGTCAGTTGTTTATTTTTTATGAAAATTTATTTCCTTTCCCAGTTTATATACTTTCACAGTTTTATTCTCTGAATTACATTTATTGAAACAATAGGTTTAATCATATTGCTTAGAGCAATAGCTTCGATGGGTGAGAGCATAATTATGCGATAGGGTATGATCGATTTATGGAGTTACTTGGATCAGCAATCATTAACAATTTCATTAAAAAAAAAATTCTTAAAGAAAATTTCCATGTTAAAAGTAAAATATGCAATTTACAGTTCACTTTGACTGATTATATTTCAGGATACAATGGAATATTTTATATCCCATAAAATTATTTTTTCAGCATGATGGAGTATTTTTTCTAATCTAATAGTCTAGGTTTTTTTTTAAAATTTTTCTTCCCTTGGAAATTTTTTTTTTTATTCCTGCATTATTACTGGTTGTTTGCTTTCTTTTTTTCGATTTTCGAATGTTCTTTCCTTTTTTGTTCAATCCTTGTTTTCAAATCAAATTTACCATTGTATGTTGTAAATTAAGCAGAATATCATTTAGAAAGGTGAATTTCATGTCTTTCATGTATAATTTATTTGAACATTTTAGAAGAGTTCTACATTAGTACACAGAACAAAGTACAAAGGCAAAAGAAGTGTAAAACTCATGTCTTATAAACGTATAAATGCTTTCTTTTGTTTCAGCAACTTCTACAAATTATGTCACTGTAAGGGTTGTTAGGTTGATTTGGCAATTCAAATTATTGTATTTCAATACATTTCTAATGAATTCTGTTTTGCTGTTATTAATTTAAGATTTTAATGACTAATAGTATTACTATAAAAACATTAACATTTTCGATATTGCAGTATTTTCACCTTTTTTTTCTCCATCCATTTCTTATCATCCCTTTCTCCGCTCTTTGTCACCCTCCCCACCCCATTTATAGTAATAAAATAAGGTACGTAAATGAAAGGAAAATTTTTATGGGTCATCGAAATCTCTATTTTAAGTTGGCGATATTTTTGACGATATTTCTTTCGATATTCATCAAGTGTATTTTTTTAAAAAAAAAAAAAAAAAAAAACAAATATATTGCTTTAGATTGAAACGTATAAATGAGGGACATCTGTGTAAATGAGGTCTAAATTTATTAAATTGTGAATTTGTTATTTGTTAGAACTGTAACAATTGTTTGATCATTATTTCGCATTATCATTATTTTTTACCGATGATATTATGAGAGACTATACCTATACCACTACCGAAATGTTTGCAAGTGATAGGTTTCTACGGTGATTTGTATGAATATTTGCAATTACGATTTTAATCAGATTTGAACTTAAAGGTTTTATTCTTTAGATTTTGCACCACAAAAATATGTCAAAATCAGAGAGTGGAAGTTATGAGATTTTGAAGAATTTTGTTGCTGGTGGTGTTGGTGGTGCATTCTGCGTTGCTATGGGGCATCCTTTTGATACCGTGAAAGTACGATTACAGACAATGCCAAAATTGATGCCAGGTGCTCGACCATTATATGCAGGAGCATTAGACTGTACCAGGCAAATCATTGTCAAGGAAGGATTCTTCGCTTTGTATAAAGTCAGTTTCTTTTATTAATGGTGAGATTGAATATTTGGTAGTATTTGTAATCGAGAATAGGAAAGCTTTTCAAAAATGTTCCCCAAATTTTGTTATCATGATTCTAATGATGTCGTCGAATATGTCACTTTGTTGTAATATGCTAATAAGATTATATGTAATATCTTAATAAGATCTTATTAATGTATTGTGACAAAGTGAACCGAGTGGTACCTATCAAATATTCAACCTCAGGATGATGCTAATGTTTTTCAGTTTATATAGATTTTTAATTTCCCACATTTCCCATTATTACTGTCATACTTTGCCAACTATATTTTAGGGTATGAGTGCTCCTATTATTGGAATTACACCTTTATTTGCCGTTTATTTTGGCAGTTGTTCGCTTGGTAAATGGTTGCAGCAAACATCCCCAGATCAGGAAATGACATTCCTTCAAAATCTCGTTTCGGGTAGCATTGCTGGCATTTGCACAACTGTCATTATGGTACCTGGTGAACGTATCAAGTGTTTGTTACAGGTTGTATTACTTTGTAGGAAGGTGCAGTTTGCAAGTGAGAATTAAGTGTCCTTCATTTCTTTTTTTTTTCACCTTTAACTTTCCTATTTTATTTGCCTGTATTGCTAGGGTTTGAGTTTCAATGAAAGTTCCGATTTTTTAATACAGAGATTTTCAGTAGACTGTTTGTAACAATCATTTAGTTGATTTCAGGTCCAGCACGGAGATTCCACAAGTCCATCTTCAGAACATTACACTGGACCAGTTGATGTTTTTAGGAAATTATACAAACAGGGTGGCATAAGAAGCATTTACAGGGGTACAATGGCAACTCTCCTTAGAGGTCAGAGGTTAAAGTTTTTATGTATATAAAATAGCACTCTTTTTACATCCGAATTAATCATTTATGTCTTCTTTTCCCACCTCCTTAAAAATGCTGGGATCAGACTATTTCCATTCATGGTTTTCATTCTTCTTTAAATATTTTTGTGTTAATAAATGGTTGTTGTTGCAGATATTCCGGCTAGTAGTGTTTACTTAGCCACCTATGAATACCTCAAAAAATTATTTGCGAGAGATGATATAACTAAAAATTTGAGTATATTGTCAACATTAATGGCTGGTGGTTTGGCAGGCATCGCTAATTGGTCTATATGTATTCCGCCTGATGTATTGAAGTCACGTTTACAAACAGCGCCAGAGGGGAAATATCCTGGAGGTATCAAGATTCCTTATTTCTTCTCAGATATAAAACTTTTGGTTAATTCGTATATTTTTTTTCTTTTTTCTTGAAAAATGACTTCTAGAGATTAGTAGAAGTTTGGCCAATTTAAAGTTGATATAAAAGGAGTTGATTTAAAGTTGCTTAATTTTGTAATCGGTAACTAGTTAATGAAAAAATTTCGGTATGGTGCAGGTGCAGTGTTGCTAGTAACGTATATTCCATCTTGATCAACTCAAATCCTTGCATCTGACTATCATTATTGATTCTAATATTTCGTTTTGCAGGAATACGTGACGTGTTTAAAGAAATAATGCGTGAAGAGGGTCCAAAAGCATTATTTAAAGGTTTTACACCGGTAATGTTACGTGCCTTTCCTGCGAATGCTGCATGTTTCCTAGGATTTGAGTTAGCTTTAAGCTTTTTTCAATTTATGGAAACGAGATGTAGCTAATTTGTCGGTAGCAAAATCGCGGTACCCACCTTTTCACACATACATATGTTTTCTTCCTTGCATATATGTGTAGATACATATCATTTCCGAAAGTAAACTTAAGCAATTATCACCAGTAATTCATTTTGTGTAATGGCTGGGATCTCCTTCTCATTTCGGTATTTTTGAAAAAATCTTTCTTTTTGCTGACGAAGAAAATAGTATTAATGAACATTTATGGTGAACATGTAAATGAAGATGAAATATCAAACTCGGCTCATTGATTATGGGATTATCCATAGTAAGCCACGTGGTTATCAGTGATCCAAGTTTGATTTTATTTCTGAAATATTACATTGTCTTTTTTCAAATCAGTGTTCTAATATTGATATATATATATATACTTTTTTTTGAATTCTGTTTTTCGTTATAAGGGAGTGTCATAACTTATGTTCAATAGTGTAAATGCAAGTGAAGAAAAAGGAGCAGGAGAATATAATTTTAGCCCATTCAATTCTGAAATTAATGAATTCTGAAAGTATTTCTGATGAAGTTAATAAAATTGTTCAGGAATTCTACCTCAAATCCGAGAAATGAGAATATTTTCTCGGAACCACAATATTTACCATTTTAGTAAAAAACGCTAACGGTTAATTTCTGATTTTATTCATATCATTTAAGTTATTAATTTTAATTGAGAACAAAAGTTATTCATATCTTACATAATTTGTGTAATGTTCTCACGAACTACAAAATCAATTCTATCTTAAATGACTAAAATTCCTTTTATTATGTAATTTTGTGATTGTGTTAGACTAGTACTTATCTCAATATAGCAAGGTTGAGTAGTCTGAACTTCATGTTTTAGAATTCTATCCTGTATTTTATCTCTATCTTTTGTCCTATCTATAAATGCATTCCGTACTATTTCGATCAACCTCGTAATATATTCTAAAATTTTTGATATTTTCTATCTAACTGGTGTTTGTAACGATTTTGCTGCAATGTGCCATTTCTTTAGTATATAACATTTTATAAGACATTTTCATGATATCAGATCAGGTTGAAATTTGATGAATTTATCAGATCAGGTTGAAATTTGATGAATCTTTAATGAATTCTGAGAATTTGTGCAAAAATTTGATAGCAAATAAATACAATTGGAAAGAACTGATTATTATTTATAGTCAGCAAAAAGAGAAAGTTTCCCTTAAGATCAGCTTTATATGTAATTAAATTATAAACTCTATTATAGAGGTAAAATCAGTTAAAAAAATTAAAATCAGTTAAAAGAATATGCAAAGGATAAGGAGCTTATTATTTTGTAAGTATAAGTATAGTGATGGATTTCACCCTGGATTTTCTGTGTCTTCCTCTTCTTTTGTATCAATGTGGTGGACTGGATGACTCACTACGATGAGCTTATGTTTATCCCTACATTTTCCTTGTGTACAATATATCTTTAACATACTGTGTAAGCTTTATGCATAATTGATTGTAGCATCATTGAATGGACACCATCGAATTTCTCATCACCAGAGGTACACATCATTTTACAATAGTATTTGTTTTTTTCAGGAGGTTAATTTTACATCTGTTTTACATTTTATTCCTTCACGATATAATGTGGTTTAATTATATTATTAATACTTTGATAATGAACCTGGTAAACCTGTATTGTCTATTTTCGGTATTTATTTTAAATCCATGTTCGACGTTAGTGCATTCAGATAATTATTTTTGAGTGAAAACAATTACTGATTTTTTTAGATCAAAGTAATCCGAACTCATAACTCTACTTATCATCTAAATTGAATTATTATTTGAAATTTTGTGTTGGTTGGGTCATTTCGATTATATTTTAAATAGGGGTTGTTACATATAGGCGTGTATTTATGTATGTATGTTTGTGTATTCTTTTCTGACGCTAACTATCAAAATGTTTATTCAAAACATTTTATAAGAAGTAAAAAAGAGCTGAGAACAGGAAAGAATATTTGGAGAAATATTTCATGGAGATGCAGAACTTGATAACAAACTTAAATTTTCATATAAATTAATTGAGGTAAATATGTTCTTTTTGTTGAATGAACGAATGAAACAAATCAATGAACTATGTGATTTAAGCATCCAGTACAATTGCATTTTTTTCATCTTTTTTTCTTTCACAGCAGACTGCTTTGGTAATTGGGTTCAGAAATCTGCATATGACGAAGTCCCAGCACTGAAAAATCCATATATCATCAGTTAGTAATTTAAACTATTCATGTTATTCGGCAACTTAAACAAAACTCTTCCCGTACTCACATATCGACCGAGCTGTAATAATTACAGTCTTTAATTACTTCAAACATTAGATTTCAATTCAGTTCTCACCAAAAAATCATCTTTCATAAGTCTTCCGAAAGAATTTTATGATTTGAGATCATCAAACAATGCTTTTAATCAATAATTAGCTAACTAAAAGTATTATATTGTATCGAAAAAATTTTCTTTAAGAAATAAAAATTCCTTGTCCATGAAATTGCATGGGAAAAAGCAATAAATAAATTGAAACCTTAGAAAAAGCATTCAGTGGTATCGTAAGTAATACTCCAAGTGGTGTACATAAGAAAACGCTAATTACTGCGAAAACCGCAAACAGAATACCGAAAAATACTGCGAATGGTATTGCAATAAAAGCAGCCAGTAATTTGTAGATTGAAACACTTGTAGCCGTGAAGACCCGATTGGTTACAAGCCAAGTCCAATTGAATGAATGGCTTCCATCCGGTTCCGCGAATACTTCACCAAAATTCATGATAATATGATTATTGAGACCTTTATCATCACGATTCTCGAGATCCAATCCAATTGACATTCTCAACTTTTTTGTTTCATCCTTCTCTCTTTCAAAATTATATGATCGAGGACTTTTTCGTTGCCAAATTCTACATATCTTTTTACGTTCCTTCTTATCAACATCATTCTCTTTCTGAACAAAAAAAAGAAAAAAATTAGATAAGAGATCCAAATTTGAAACACATGAAATAAAGACAATCTTCCGTTCAAGATTTCTAAAGATGATCAACCGGAAAAGGAGGAAAAAAATCAATTTATCAATAGAAAATTTGATAAAATCCTTAAATTCATACACTCAAATACTTAATGAATATATAACTGTTGAGTGTTTCTATATTTTACATTAAAAAAAAAGAGAAGAAAATCATCTAAAACATTAAATAAAAAGTGGATGAAAATTTATTTTTGCATTTTTTCCTTGATTTTTTGACTTTCATTTTGTTACCACTCATAATTTTAACATACATTTTAATTTAATTTCTCTTACAATAAATAGTCCATTTCTCAGCAACTATATGAAGTGCTTTAGTGACAGCTTCTTCAAAGAGTTTAATAATTCAAATAGATCGTTTTGAAATGAAACATATTTCAATGTCCGAAATTATTTTAGGATAAGCCATTTTAAAAGTTTTTTCTTTTACCGCTCTGACGACTGCAAGCCAGATTAAAATAAATAAATAAAATAAAGAAAATAATTAATAAAATGCAACTTAAAAAAAAAAATTAACAAAATTAATAAAATCGAAGACGACTTTCAAAAATTATGAAAAAAAGGGAACAGGTGAGGATGTGCTGGTCAACAGGATAGCAATCACAACAGTAAGAGATCTTTGAAGAAAAAAAACTTTAAATTTTCAGTTGATAAAAAAACATCGCAAACAATTGTATAAATGATTGCTGATACTGATGATGATTTTCTATTATGTTAGTTTCATAAAAAGACACATTAGAAAGATAGCCACCTTGATTTCAAAAGAAATTATTCAAAAGAACTCGAAAGATTTATAACTATTTTTTTCATTAAAAGCTGAAATGTGGTATAAGAGCTACTGATTTATATAAATAAGGAATAAATGACAAAATTTATTATGTTTAATTATTTGATAAAGAATCAATACACAAAAAAAAATTTAATTTATCAAGATAAACCAAATTCACATTTGTTAAAAATGATGTAATTTTGAAAGGTTACCTTTGCTGAATTAGTTTCTACCTTCAGCTTCTCCGGATCAGTGTCCGATTTCAGTAGCACCTGTTCAGGTTGAATTTCCTGTCTTCGATCAGACATCCTTTTCTTACTAATTTTATATTGCTGGTTAAGGGATGAATAAAGTGTGCTGTTGGAGCAGTAATTGATTAGCAACGGGTAACAGCAGTTCACAAAACCTAGCACTACCAAGCAGACTGCTATTGGGACGGAATTGTCTGCCCATAAGGCCATAAGGTCATTTCTCAGCAGATAGCGGCAAAGGGCGGACCTTCAGCGATGTCCATTTGATGACCTCCCTCATTTTCTGTAGTCCACTTGTTTATCAATATTCTCATGTTCTCTATTTCTTTATTTCATCTTTGATAGTGCTGTATTACCTCTTTTTTTATTGCCGTCACATTGTGGAACTAACTAGTTACCGAGCCTAACCTCCTCAACCTTTGACCCTTGGTGAGGTAACACAATAAAAAAGCGCGCCAATAACCATTCAAATGCTATTGTTGCTATCGTTAACGCTGCGCTGATTGCACCAGCGATATAAAATTAGTTTTGGGAAGATGAGATCATCATTTGCTCAAATTTGAAGTTAGAAGATGCAAAATTAATCATTTCTTATTTGAATTACATTTTATCATCAACAGAAACACTCTTATTTAGAAAAAAATTTTTCATCACTTATTAACATTCAGTAAATTGATGTTGAATTTTTTTCTCCTCAGCTTTATAATAAACAGATCAAATTGATGTATTGTTGAAAATTAAAAATTTAAAGAAAAAATAAAAATAAAGAATAAAAATTATCATGGATGCAAAGCGTAAGCAATGAATGTGTGATTCAAATTTTCAATGAATTAAGTTTATTAGTGAAAAAATATTTTATACCCCTTTACAATATATGAGTCTGAATCACTTCAAAAGATCGAATTTTACGACCAACTGAATATTTATTACTAATTTGAATTACTGCTTTAATTTAAAGCTCCATGCATAATTAGACATAAACTTGTTGGACTGTTTCAAATCTCATTTCAACACTGGGTACTAACTTCCTTATCTTCCCATTAATTCTTAGTTAACGAAAGCAAAAGCAGAAATCAAAGTTGCATGCTGCTGCAATGTGTAAGTAATGATATTTGATTAAATAAATGTTTCATTAACAAAATCTTTTTCTTCACGTTTTTTTTTTTCCACATAACTTGACAATTAACATAGACAACTGCACTTATTTAACAAATATAGTAAAGAAATTATGTAAACCATCCATCTGTTGGTTCATTTATATAAACGAATTCTGTTGACAAAAGACAATCTATAACTATACTTTACCTTAAATATTGTCATTTGTTGACTGATAATATCACATATATTCTGAAGTAACAATTCAAACACAGTAAATCCAATTGATAAAGTCATATTAGACTAAACTTCAGATATTTAATCAACTTCTTCAATTATTGCAGAATTAATATTTATTAGGATGATCAATAAAAAATAACAATTCATTCATAATTTTTCAGCCAAATGCAAAATGATTTCGTTGTCCGAGTAAAATGAGATAAGTCATTTTCCGTTTGATTACTTCTTCTTGTCGATTTAATATTTTTAAACTTTGTATATGTTCATCTGCAACATACGTAACAACTTACAGTAAAGAAGTAAAAAAAGATGCACTTTTCCAGTCTAATAATAATATGTGTCTAGGATAACTAATGACTAAAAAAGGTGAAAGTTAATTTGTTAGGAACAAAATGAACTTACAGTACACTTTACAATCAGATTTCCTCTTTGGCAAATAAATGTTTACATTTGGGACATAAATAAGCTGATTTACAGTCACTGACTCATAAAGTTCGCACGTGAAAATATCACGTCCACCAATTAATCCATAAACAACTGTTTTACATCTCTGAAATTGTCATTTGTTTAAGCTATGAGTCTAATTGATTCCATCACTTAGGAAGAGGCAATTATTATTTTCGTAAACAAATGATAAAATGAATATTCAATATCATTTTTATAGAAAAAAATTGAGAGAAATGAATAGAGAAATTTTGGGAATTGTGTGGTAGCTCTGTTTTTCGTTTCGAGTTTGAAACTTCATTAAAGTTTTGATTCACTGATTTAAAATGTAATCATAAATTTCATTTAAAATTTTTGCTTTTTTACAGTCAGAACGAGATAGAAAAGACTCAAAATCAAAATTATAAAAATCATAAGCTATTAAATAAATTCTGATCACTTCTCGTCATAGTTTGGTCAGCCAATATTAAATTTTTTAAAATTAATGTAAATTACTGATCTATGTTATGGTCAATATCATTTATTCATTTTTAATAATTTTGATATTATTCTTTCAGGTTATCATAATTTATAAAAACAAGATATGAAATATTTATCAGTTTTTTAGTTTATTTCGTTATGTTATCAAATAATTATTTATGAACAAGCATAATGGTGTTAAGTATTTGAAATCCCAAAATTATTTTAGATCTCAATTTTATTTGATGAAAATTATAATCAAATTAGTAAGCTTTAAGCAATTCAATAAAAGCATTTAGTTGCAACAAAATTTCTAAAAAGAAATCTTAAACACTTACTGTATCTTTAAGACAAGTAACCAAGCATTGATCCTCCGTACTACTGTAACTATCATTTGCAACTCCATACGGTTTAAGGGAAATTGGCATATCACGATCTGTATATTCCACGAAACATTTACACATCACACATGGATTTCCAAAATGGTCTGGAATTTCATCAAAATTCAACTTTTTAAATTTTTCTGAATTTTTTCAGGAAAAAAATTTTTCGTAAATACTTATGAAAAAAAAAAAAATAATCCATGATGATAACCAAGAACGTTTGAAGTTTTAATATCATTATAATTTCGCTAAAAGTAAAAAGCAAATATGGACCAAAAAAAAGAAAAAATAGCCTTTCCAGATCTATCACAGATATTTCAAATCACCTATTTTGAATTTTAATTTAACTTTTATTCAGCTTAGTAACTTAATGAAACCTGTTATCCACTACGAATGCAGTTTACACTTATTTTATGAAACTCCCTCTCTCTCTCTCTTTCACATGCTTATTTTTTTGCTAGTTTGAAGTAATTAATTATTGGAATAAACCAATAAAAAGAAGGAAAAAGGAAAGAAAGAAACAAACTTGGTCGATTATAGGCTTCGATAATCCTAAAAAAGACCCCAATAAGAATAAGAAAACTGAAAGCAATCATTGAACGGATCGACAAAAATGACAGCGGTTGTCTTTGATATTGCCATTCTTTTGTGTTAACAAAATATAGGTCAGCAATATATGGAAAGGTCAAAAATGGGTCATACAATTCCCTTGCGAGCGCAAAACATTAAATTTTCCCACTTATCTTTTATAACACTGATATAACTTTTATCGCATCAATTGTCTATCAATGGAACAAACAGAAATTCTCAGTTTCTTTCTCTTGTGTCACTTTGCTTAATGATCAAATCATTCATCAATCTTTCGATTTCATTATATATGAGAAAATAAGCAAATAAATTGATATAAATTATCGTTTGTATATAGATTATATAGCCTTTTTCGAAAAAAAAAGTTGAAAGTTTTAAAAAGTCGAAATATTTTTTGAATATCATTGGTGTGTTTTTAATTCAACATTAACACTATGCAACTTATATTTAAAATTTTAGAACATTTAATCGAGAAATGTCAAAGCAATACAAAAAAATAAAAGTAAAAGAAGAAAAAATAGATAAGAAAGTGAAAAGATGGATTTGAGTAATAAATCGCCCAGCTAAATAATTATTTCAGTGATCAGATTTTTTATTTGAAAACAACGAAATAATCTTTGAAATTTGATCTTCAAAATATTTTTTGAAATATAACCATTTTAATTTGTAATTAATGATTTCATCTGTCTATGTACATGAAACTTCTAGAATGCGGAAAACTGATAATTCCTTTGGTCAATGAAAATTGTGGAAAAACAAACAACTTTGTGAGTAGTACAGATAATATGACCTTTATACATTGATTGTTTACCTGTTTAATATGGAAATTGTTATCGAAAAAAAAAATAATGAAACGACAAAAATATTTTGGAGAGTAAATTACAACACATTATTTTTCATTAAATGTTGATTAGTAATGTGTATTAAATAATGATAATTGATTTAAATTTAAGAAAAAAGAAGAAAAATCTGGTTGATTTAATAATAGACAATATCCTTTTATCATATTCAAAGGGTATTCAAACAGATTGAAAGCACACTTCTAACTCGCATGACATATTTAGTCCTATACTTCTGTTTTAAATTCTACTCTAATCATTTTAATTAATCTTAAAAACTTCTCTTTCAATATTTGCATACTCAGTCCAGAAAAAATTTCCGAAACAAAAAAGCACCAACAAAACAAATAAAAAAACAAAAAAAAAAAAAAAAAACGGGTCTTTGAACTAATTTTCTTTCCTTTTCTTTTATCAACTAAGTCGGTTAATTTAATATCTTAACATTGTTTTTATTTCAATAATTATAAATAATTGATTTATTTTATTTCATTTTACTCTTTTTTCCTCTTTTTTTTCTTTTTTTTTTTTTGTATAACTATATGTAAGAGAAAATCTGCGACATTGGAGAAACGTAAAGCTTTTTTTCATTTCTTCCATTAATCTTATATTCCTTGTCATATACTTAAATATATCTCAAATCATTAATTCAAGAGCTTTATCGTAGTCGAATTACTTTTTTTTTCGTATTTCTTCATGGCAAATCTTTATCTGTAATCAAAAAATAATCAAAAAATTTGTTCCTTAATCCTTTTAATTTAATACTTGGAAATGACAACAAATACATATATGAGCATTATAGTAGGTTTTTTTTTTTTTTCTAACTTATGATTTTTTTGAAATTTAATCATATTTGAAGATCTGTTTTACACATTTACTTTAAAAAGAGAAAAAAATAAAAAAACTGTTAAAATTTGTTTCAGTGATGGAAAATTTATACTGATAGAAGTGTGGTTATAATATGACGTTTAATAATTCGACATTGGTTAAACAACCGTAGTCTTCACGAAATATTTTTAAGAAAAGATCAAAGGACAGGAATGAATCGGTTACTTAATTTATGAGGAAGCCTTTTCTCAAGAAGTTGTTGGACTTGGTTGCTACTCCGTTGTTAAATAGCAATTGGGTTCAACAAATTTCTCCAAATTGTTTATTAATTCTTTCAAATAAAAATAGAAATAAAAAATAAAAAGACTTTGTTTTGCTATTACATTTCCAAGAAAAATAATGGATGTTTTAAAAACATCTATTTATCATATAAATTTAGTATATCGAATCAATAAAATGATATATTTACTCTATATTTATTCATTTTATTACTTGTTTTTTTACAATATCTATCTTTTCAATTATAATTTCTTCTTAATCAATCTAACTAATAATACGTTAATTATTAGCGCACTAAGCCATTTGTTTTCATTAACCGGTACTTTGAATAATATGAAATTAAGCAAAAATGAAAAAGTATAAAAATTAGATCAGAAAAAAAAAAAACACAAGTTTTAATTTTATGTGAAACATAATTTTGCGGTACAAAAGTAAAAGTAACTGATATCCACATACTTTGATAATATCTGATTCATTTATCACAGCATCCATTTGAATACTTTTAAATAGTTACAGAAATATTTAATTATTTCATTTTCATTCTGTTCTGTTGTTTTTTCCTTTTTTTTTTTCCTCCTTTTCTTGTTATTTATTTTGTTATACGTAAATTTAACAGCAATTATTTGTTGTTTTTAACACATAACATAGCATTAAAATAATGTCAATAATCAAAAAGAATGATTTAATGGTTTACATTGTAAATCTCTTTCAGGAAACCTTTATGTGATTATTTCCGATCATACAGTTAGTTTATACTATTATCTGATGACGCGTTACTTTAACATAAAAAGAAGTTGTTTGCACAAAATATCAATTTCTACGTAATTTTAATATTTTTCTTTAATCTCAACAATACTTTTAATGTTTGTTTAAATTTCATTATGAAATTTGGTATCAGCTATGCTTAATATTTTGTTGACTAGTTAAGTCAAAGGTTAAATACTGCGCAGATGCATATCTATTATTACCATAACTGATCACTTGTAGTGATGATTGATTGATTTATTTGCTGACGGATAAGATTTACGATATACATTATATTCTATCAGTATTTCAGCCACTATACTTATCTCAAATACGCAAGGTGTATTGTAAGTGAAGTGAAGTGTTTAAGAAAAAAAATAATTGTAAAAAATAGCTAATTAGTTAAATAAAAATCGAAAAGATGAATGACTGTGCAAAAAGTGTTTATAAATTAATGATAAGAATATTAATAATGGAATAAACTTACTTTGATAAGCTATGGAATCTTTTAAAAAAAGGTATATAATTGGACTAATATTAACAAAAGAAAGAAACAGCCAGAAAAAGTTGAACTAATTTAATAAAAAAATTAAGTTAAAAATATGATGAAATCATTTAATATACTACCATATTTTATTTGATTAGAAATGTTAGTGTAAGCAAGTTTCTGTGTCGATAAGATAGAATTATTTGATAGTTTGTGAAAATGATAAAAGTTTAAGCTTCCTAGTTACTTCGTTGAATAAAATTGAAGCAGTAAGGTGAATTTAAATTCTAATTTGAAATATTTCTGTAACTTGTTCAAGCGAGATGCGTATATCACAATAAATATTAGTAAATAAATATTTCTTAGAGTTCTAATGATGATTATAATAAATTACAAATGGTAACATGATAGCGATCCTGCGATGATAATGATGATTAATGATTATCGTCATTATCATAATAATGATAACGATAGTGCTGATAATGACAGTAACACCTATAACTGAAAATTTGCAGTACTATACGGATGGAAATTTTCCAATGTTGAATTTCGTAATCCGAAATTTTTTAAAAACATTTAATGAAATGATGTGAGCAATGAATTCTAGCATGAATTGTTTTATTCATTTTTTGCTTTTTCCACAAAATCATTAATTTTTATTTATTTCATAATAATTTTTTAAACTTATTTGAATCATACATATTTTGTTACACTCATTGTATGATTGCTAATCTTCTTTTCTTATTTCTCCTTTCTTCTACTTCTTCATTTTTTCTTTCTATTCTTCAAAGAATTTAGTTCGTATTACTTGAAATCATTATAAAAAAATTTGTTTAGATTTTCAAATAATTCAGTAGCTAGAAAAGTGTTAAATTTATATATATATATTTATATATAAGTAAATCTTCATCGATGATCTTGTTGGCCGAAAGGAATGGAAAGCACGAAAGGAATAAGAAAATATGCCTTTGAAGTGTTGTTTGATAAAGCAAAAGATGTCATCAAAGCTAAAAGATGGGACCTCATTCAAATCTTTCTGCAGTGCTCTTTTATGGGTTACATGAAACAATAATTAGTACTTCCAAAATAAAATTTCAACTTCATTCCTCACCCCCTCTCCGCCCCCTCTCATTTCATTCCTTTTTTCCTCATTTTTCCACTTCTCAGTCTACCAATATCCTTCAAATCTTACAAAATCCTTCAAATATATTCATTTTAACATCAACTTTCCCCCTCTCTCTCTCTCTCTTTTGTTTTTTGTTTTTATTTATTCTTAAATTCATTCTGTTTTTCTCTTTTTTATCTTACCATGCTCTTTTTTTTCTTTCGTTTTTTTAATGCTATTTAGTGGTGCTTAATATTCTACAAACTAAACTTTTCAAGAAGCTTTTTTTCTCCGTTTAGAATTGCAGAAAAATTCTTGTAAGCATCATTAAAAAATTTATAAAATTAGTGGTTTATTAGTTTTTTTCTTACTTTTTTTTCCTTTTTTTTTGAATATTGATGTTTTTAATTGAAAGTTTTTGTAGTTTAAATATCAGCTAAATCATTGTCATTACAAGCATTCATATTATATAATGTGGCAACGAGTACTTTTTTCATTTAATGATTATGTTATCATTGGTAATGCAGTATTGTAATTTATTATGCATGAAATTTCTAATTTTAACAAATCTTTGAATGTATACTTAATTAGGCGTATGATTTAATTTAGTGGATTGAATTGAAAATGTTATATTGCTTTCCATTCATCTATCTATCTATCTATCTATCTATATATATATATATATATATATATATATATATATGTATATATATATAGATGTTTTTTTCA